AGTAGCTTGGTTAAGAAATTTTTGAAGAAAAGTATAGAAAAAGGAGCTTTCACATTTAGGATTGGGCATAGTATTATTAAGTTGTATAAATTGATCTTCTGCTTTATGAGCTAATTCTTTAAGAGATTTAAAAAGAAAAGATTTAGAAAAATTAGCAGATAAGGATTAATTTGGTTCAAAAATAGAAAAGCTTAGAGTTGGTTTTAAGATAGATAAAAATTGTAAAAAAGATTGTTTAAAAAAGAAAAAAGTAAGATTATAAAAAATATATTCAATATTATTAGAAAGAATATTGCAAATAGGATTTGTACAGGTATATAAATGATATAGAGCAGCTTTGGTTAATATTTCAGTATGTTTTTGTAGTGAATTAATTGATGTAGGTTGGTAAGAATTAAAAAGCAGTTGTTTGAGCTTGTTAGAAAGGATAGTAGTTTAAAATTTAATGTAATTATAAACTTTTTGCTGATTAATATATGAAAATTGTTTTTTGTAAGAATTATAAAATTTAGGAAACAAGATATCAAGTAGTATACAGTAAGTTTTGAAAAAAGAAATATGGAATATTTGGAAAAAGAATTGTGAATCAATATTAAATGTAATATAAATATTATACTTGGAGTTATATTTAACTTCCAGTGATAAAGAGTTAGAATTATGGTATATAGTATCAAAGTATAAGCTAAAACAAATAGGTTTAAGGTCAAGATCTAAATAAAATTGCATATAGTTAATAGTTTGATATTTGTTATAAAGAAAAAAATATAGACGAGCAAGATTTATTGCAATATGAGCATATTGAGAAATAGAATAAGAGGTAAAAAATAATGAGAGTAAAATTTTTTTTTGTAGTTTAGAGTTGTAAAAAGAACAGTAGTAAAGTTTGATAAAATATTTTTAAAAGTGAATGAATATAACTCAGATAAAATATTAGAGCTATAAGAGAGTATATTAGAAATATTTTGATAAATAATATCAAAAAGAAACTGTGGTTTTTGTAAAATTATATTTCGTAATAAATCATTGAAGTTATTACAACTAGGTTGTTGTTGAGTAATAGAAGTACATATTTTACCAGAATAGAAGTTTTAAAAAAAAAGATTAATAAAATTTAAAACTTGTATTCCAAGAGAAGTTTGAAATTGAGTTTGATTTTGTACTTCTGTATTAATTGAAAATGTTTAAAGCCAGTCAAGAGTTTTACTAGAAGGTTGATGATAAGGAATTCTTTGTTAAGTCATAGTTAGTTTTAGATATAGAGAGTAAAGAAAATAAAAAAATATATATATAATTTAATGAAATAATATAAAAAATAAAACTTGTCAGTATTTATAGTCATGTGCTCAGGGTTAGGTGATTCTGAATTCATTAGAATCATCTAAAGACAAGGATTATTTTGGTAGTTAAATCATCCAAATTGGTTGGGTAGATCAAAAGTTATTGAATTTTAAAGATAGTAGTAGATATACAGTATATAAAATAATAGAAAAGTATGAATATATATATAAAGATATAAGCACTCTCCCCAATGATTACTTGGCACAAAAAGTAGTAAGAAGAAAAAGCGTCTGTTTTCCAATTTATAAGGCAATACAATAGTGATAAATACTAGCAGGCAACAAAAAAAACATAAACACAAGGTAGTTTCACAATAGCTAGTCGACTTGCAAGTGAAAAAAGGGCAAAACTCCAAAAACACAGCAAGAGTGATTTCAAAAGCTGAACATGACAAAATCTAACAGAAGATTGTATAAATAATAAAAGTCAGTTCAGCATTAGAAAAAGCCTAGATAGAACGTCAAATACAATATTTATTGACATAGAAGTGCTGAAACACAAAGGTACTCTAGTTTGTTAAAAAACGTTGCTCGCTTCTTTAATTTTAGGGAAAATAGCATTAACCTTGTAGTGTAGATCTTTGGTGTAACACAAGATTTTCACACAAAGACACACAAAGATACACAAAATCAACAACCTATATTTCATGTAAAGACATATTAAAAACACGTAAAAATACATAAAACATGTGACTTAATTGGAGCTTAAACCAAAATTAAAGAGTTATATTAAGCAACATACCAGTACGCAAATCACGTAAAAGAAGCAATGCCAGCACTCTGGAAGTACAGAAATTTCTTTAACCAAACCGATGAGGAGAAACTAGTATTATATAAGGAACAAAAGGCAACCTTAGTTGAACAGGACAGTCACATTGCAAACTTTTTAGGTTATAAAGATGTACTATTTATAGCAGCTTTACGAGAGGTTGTTGAAAGGTATAATTGGGCCCGAAACAAGGAGTTTAAGCAGGATACACTATCTAACAAGGAGAAAATTTTACTGGGACAAAGCAATAGTATGGAGATAATACAGAAAGAAGACAATAATCTTAATCCAAATCCCACTGATATGGAAATTAGTTTCACAAAACCTGTGATTATATCCGAAAATTATAGTAACAACACAACTTGCAACAACAATGGCAGCTCTCGTAAAAGAAGCCTCGAAGAACAGGAGAGTAGTAATAACTTAGCTGAGTATAAAAAAGAGACAAGAGTAAATACACTTATTCAAAATGAGGTCGGTACATTGGACTATGGTCTTGAAGAGGTACTAGCTAGCAACAAAGTAAGGTCCACAAGGGTAGAAGGCAAACAGAAAAAGTTCAAAAAACAAGAGGATATCTATAACTCAATGTGGGCCCCGAGTGGTGAATACATACCAGGAAAGTATACACATGAATCACTATATTTTTTCACTTTGTAGGACCTCCCAAGAGATATAAGTGGGGAAAGAATTAAGAAATTTCTTAGATATTTTGGGGAAGCAACAATACTAGCATGGCAACATAACTTTACTACCAAAGCAGCTTTTATCAAGATTGTTTCGAATATAGAGGAGAGAGGAAAGTCCTTAAGAGAAAATTGGTCTATACATTTGGATCAGAGTAAAACTTATCGAACAACACCCAGGAAATTCAACATTAAAGAATTAGAAGAACGAAACAAGTTCAAAAGCACAATCTTCAATGTACCAACATTTGCTTTTAATAGCCTGCTTCTTAGACAATTAAAAAGATTCAAGGTGTAGGCAGTACACATACTAAGTAATCATAATGGTAATCAGTACAGAAGGGCACACATATACTTTAAAACTAAGGAAGACTTAGTACAAGCACAAGAATCAATTCCTTATTATTTTAGCACTAAATTAGAGTGAAAGATGCCTACGAAAGAAGGGAACCGTAACTGCAAAAGAGAAAGCAATGAGGCACGTGGTTTGACAGATAAGAGGAGAAAAATGAAAGCCAACAAGTCAACCACTCCTAAAGATATTGCTGATACACCTCGCCTAAAAAGGAAAACCTTACCACTACTTGAAAACAATAGAAGTAAAGAAAATATCCTTTGTGATACCAAGAAATCTTCAGGTCATGGTGAGGTGAAGTCTACAACAAGAAAAGTAGCGACTACAGAAATGCAAATAGAGACAGGAGTTTACAGTACAGAACAGAAAGAAAATATTCAAAACATGATCCTTGAGCAAATTCTTCAAAGACTCAATGTGATAGAGCTAAGGCAGAGTAGCCTAGAGGCGCAGAATCACTCCTAAAAGTTGCTACAGGCGTTTTTATAGAAAAAAGGGTCCAGAAAATGTAAGAGGAGGATGCCTGGACCCTTCCAACGCAGAGGAGGAGTATAATAGAAGAAAATGATGGGGTTCTAAAGATAGCAGTATATAATATTAATGAGTTAAAGTCACGTAGTTATCAGTTAGATCTGGTGTTAGTATGGGCTACGCAAGAAGGTTTTGATTTGGTTGGGTTGACAGAGACTAATATACAAGAGCATACAGGAAAATTCTTAACGAAAGATAAAGACAATTATCGAGGAATTTGGGCTAGTGCAGACATGAACAAATATAAAGGTTCAGGTGTAGAGTTACTTATTAGCAAAAGATTAGAAAAATATATTGGAAAAGTAGAAAAGTTAAATGAATTTCTATTAATTGTAAGCTTTTATTTATCAAACAACATTATGCTCTCGGTTATGGTGACATATCTCCCACCAAGCAATAGCGAAGTGGTAAAAGAAATTTCGGCTAAGATTCATGACAAGATTACATTTTACAAAAGAACAAATTTTGTAATCTTAATGGGGAACTTTAATCACGTGGTAGACCCACAATTAGACCAGGCAAGACCATTATCAACACAAAAGAATTTATTACTACATCGGTGGCTAATATTTAGAGAGTACAAGGACTCTTTTAGACTTTGCAACCCAGAAAGTAAAAAATATACATGGAGTAATTCTACAACAGCAACAAGAATAGATTAGATCTGGGTAGCGAATTGTCTAGCTCAACACGTTGAGACAGCAAATATTATTGAGATGCAAACAATTATGGGGAGCGATCATGAGGTGGCTTTTGTTGATATCAAAATAAAGCCACACAGAAACCCAGAAAAAGTTGCACCAAGTGAGACATATTTAGCAGTGCGAATAAAGTAGTTACTTGACCAGACAAAAGAAGAGGATTGGCAGAGTTATAGAGCAACATTGTGAAAGCTCTTAGATAGCAAAATTCTGCCCTTTCTAAAGGAACATTATATAGACATAGACATAGCTTCTTCACCAAATATGTTGGATAGAGTTAACCAAGTATGGGGAATTATTGAAGAGGCTATTATTAAGTCAGCAAAGCAAAATCTCCCAAATAAGAAAATCAGACCTTCAAAGAGAGCTGTTAGGGGGGAAAAAAAAGAAAAACTTGTGGTTGATAGCTGCACAGAATTTGGGAAAGATTATAAGAGATATTAAAAGAGCAGAAAATCCACCTAATAGCAGCTCAGTTTTGCAATGGAACAGAGGTTTGGAGAAAATAAACAAGTCGACAGGTAGTGAAATCACGTTGGTCACCGACTTCATTACTGAAAGCTGGTTAGAAGAAGCAAAGGTATGGTGAAAAACTTTTAAAAGCAAAGTGGTCACCAAAAAAAATATGTGAATCAAGAAAGAAATTAGAGTGTGTGTTGAAAGAAGAGTACAAATAATCATTAAGAAGCAAAAACGAATGCTAACAAGCCTGCTAGAAAAATCAACCTCCAAAGTGACAATTGACAGAGTTTATACCGAAGAGGCAGAGAGTGCTCGGCTAGAAACGAAACCTAAAGAGGTGCTTAGGATCACCAAAGAGCACTTCCAAAATCAGTTTCGTAAAAGAAAAACAAACATAGCCTTGCTGAATGGAGATTGGCACCAAGAATATAGTCCTATTGCATGGGTACAGGAGATTTGGTATGACTCATTACTCGAGCCAATCGAAGTAGAAGAGTGGGAAGCAGTACTAAGGAATAGCAAATCGAACTCAGCCCCAGGGATCTCAACAATTACATACTCATTTATCAAGCAGGCAGACAATAGGACACAAATTATTTTTAAAAACTTTGCAAATTTGTGTATTTGCAGTGGGGTAATACCAGATAAGTGGAAAGTAGCACAGGTGTATTCGATACCAAAGGGAATGGATTGGGAGTACGATCTAAACAAGATACGCCCAATAGCTTTGCTAGAAACATTTCGCAAGTGTACAACCAAAGTGTTAACAAAGCGTCTCAGCAAGATTATAAGTGAAAAGGCAATATTACAAGGTCCAAACTTCGCGGGTTTACCTGGTAACTCAACTGAAGAGCCAATTCAAATATTAAATGCAGTAATAGAAGAGGCTAAAGAGCGGAATAAGGAGTTATGGGTTCTTTTCCAGGATATGAAGAAAGCATATGACTCGGTAAACCTCGAGATGTTGCAAAAAGCTCTAGAGAGAATCAAAGTCCCACCGATTATTTGTAGTTTTATCCTAAACCTATTCAGAGACAGAAAGCTTAGAATAATTACAAACTTTGGCCTTACCGAAGAGATTGCTGCTGAAGATGGTATAGATCAAGGAGAAGTTATTTCTCCCTTGGTCTGGAGAATTTTCTATGATCCGTTGCTTAACAGGATACAGAAAGACAAGGAACTGGGATACACCCTCAAGCCATATGACAAAATGAAAACATTGATGGACTTAGATCATACAGATGAGATCAGACAAGCGGCACTAGCCTATGCTGACGACACAGCCTGGCTAGCAAATTCGAAGCAACAACTAGAGCGTATAATAGCTTTGGCTGAACAATTTTTTAAGTTAAATGATATTAAAATAAATGGAAACAAATCCAAGCTAGTAGTGGTTAACTCGGGTTTGGCTAAGCAGGAAAGGTGTATAGATTTCTGTGATACAAAAATTACGGCAGAAAGAAAGCTATGTGATGTAAAATACTTAGGGGTTAGGCTCCATACCGCAACAGAAATAGGTAGCATCAAAAATAAGGCCAAAAAGATAGTGGGCCTTTTTTCACACTTAATAAGGAAAAAGAAGGTTACAGCAAGCCAATTAGTCTATATAAACAACCAAGTACTAATACCCAAATTAGAGTATATCTTACAGATCGTTCCACTCGCAGAGAAAGAAGTTGCAGCAATCCATCAACCAATGCTATGTCTGTTTAAAAGAAAGTTGGGAATAGCTCAGACATGTCCAAACAATATTATATTGCATAACAGCATGCTAGGGTTTCGACCACTCACGAGTACACTCATAGCAAGACAAGCAGTTGTGCTTCTAAAAAGCTTAAATAATATAGACACAATAGGTAGAATTACAAGGCTTAGAATTAGACAAGGTATTTTTCGTAAAGGGATAAGCCAAGATTTTTGGAAGTGTACTGTTGCTGAGACGGGCAAGACTAGGTGGAGAGGCAATATCTCCTGTAA